AGCACATGGGATTGCAGTATCAAACAAAAGGATGACTTAGACACAAGGACAAATGATGATCAAAGAAGGCAAATACTGAAAACACAAGCCTCTGAATAATAATGCCTGCAGATAAATCATTCGTTTTGATGATTATAGAAGTCAATGAAAGAAGTTTGATAAATGGCAAAAGTTTGTAACACCAACAGCAAAATACATTGAGAAGAGCTAGCAGATTATTTAAATTGTCACTACTAGTGGGTGAAGAAGACTTTTCTTATGCCCCTGGCAGGAGAGCATACCTGTATAATCTATTTTAGATTTTTTTCTTCAAAATAGTTTTTACTGTTTTTCATTTAAAACCTATGTATTCCATATCCAAGAATTAATACTAAGAGATTTGTACATGAATCCTGCTGCAAGAATATAAATTATGGCATTTAGAACTTGAATAAGAGAACATATAGATATCTAATAAAAAGAGGATTGATTGAATTATTTTGCTACAACCATATAATGGAATATTATGCAGCCATTTCAATGACTCTGCAGAATTACATGTGTAACAGGAAATATGTTTAATATATATTGTCCAATAAATTGGCATGTAACAAGAACCTGTAAGTTATCCAAAACAACAACCTTGGAGTCAGAGAACATGTATTATTTTTTTTTAAACTTGCACCACTGGAATTATGTAAAATGGCAAACTGTTCAGATATCTAATTTCTTTTTCTGCAAAAAGAATAATAATTATACATCTTCCTACCTCATTGTGTTTTTAGGAAATTTTAAAAAACGTATTATTCAATGTTCTTATTTTACCTGTTGACTAAGTGCACATAAATGCTGTTGATAGAACAGCATAAATACATCACTTATAAAATATATGCATCTTTTTTAGACCTATGTATTACATATCCAAGAATTAATACTAAGAGATGTGAACATGAATCCTGCTCCAAGAATATAAATTATGGCATTTATAAATTATGTATATAATATAAAATATAAATTATGTAAGTATGATTTTTGTTGTGTTTGCTTACCTTGACTTAACCATATTCCCTACATTTAATATGGGGAATCAGTTATCATTCAGGAGTTCTCCTGCAATAACACCTCCCTCCAAAATCTCACTTGTTTAAAACAACAGGAGTTTCTTTCTCACTCACATCATAGGACCTTGGTGGATCAACAGAGATTTCTGCTACCCATCCTCATTCAGAGACCCAGGCTAATGGGTCAGAGACGATCTCAAGCACTGCAAATCCTCATGCCTGAGACAGAATGGCAGATTTTTCACTGCCTCTTATAGCTTCTGCTCAGATGTGATGCAAATTAATTTTACTCACTTTTTTTTTTTAAGTCAAAGTCAAATTCATGCTCAGGAGAACATCGATAATAATAATGATGTATTCTTAAATCAGGAAGAATGTAAAACTAATGTTTAGCCTATCATAAGCCATTACAGTTTTTGAGCAGAACACTAGAAGACTAGATAAAGTGTTTTCCCACCTTTACTCCCAGGAACCGAAATTAGGACGAGTGTCTTTATATCTATATTGGCTACACGAGATACATCTCATTACATGAAAATATATCTACAGCCAATATGGCATAGAAATTAAGGAATCACAGGATGCAGAATGTAAGATATCATATAAGTTATTCTACCTTCAAGACATAATGATCACACTTAGTCACCACCAACAGAAACTAATAATTTAACTTAATTTCTGATATATTTTATATATTTTATATATATCAGATATATATAAAATTATAATATATAATTATATATGTAAAATATATAATATATACAAAATTTATATATAAAATATAATATAATATATAGATATATATGTAAATGCATTCACCTGATATTTATATAAAAATATATAAAAATATCTGATATATATATTTAAAAATATATAATATATACAAAATTTATATATAAAATATATAAAATATAATATATATTATAGATATACAATGTATATGTAAATGCCTTCACCTGGTCCCTGACAAACTTCAGTATATTCTACTAGGATTTTTTTTTCCCAGCTTGTGAGCTAATGAGGCCCTCAGGCTGGAGAAACTGATGGGTCTTATAATTGCTTTCCTAACTCATGTAACCACAGCTGCAGTTTTCATTCATAAATTGCAAAACGAACTCTTTGAAAGTTTTCATACTGGTCACGTGCCTCAAAACATCCAGTGCCAAAGAGTTTGCAGATGTAGCACTATGAGAAAGAAAGGGTACCTGACCTTGACCAAAAGCACTCAACCGGCCATCATAACTTCTTGGTTTTCGTTTTCAAAAATCTTACATAGTGTCATGATTTCCCGCGAAATCACTTTGCTCATGTAAGGAAACTGATAAACTTATTTAGTTTCAAAGTACTTCTAGAGGCTGAAATGAATTATAAATAATTTTAAAAACCATAATTCTATACATTTATTCAATACCTTTTTAATAAAATAAAGTTTAAACATACTCTACTGCTTAAAAATGGTAGCTAAATAAGTCAGTGAATCTCGAGAAAGGCAGGAAATACGCATGTCTGAGGAAAAACCTAGTGGAGTATATTAAGTCCCCAATAATTTTATTTGACTTGTTCTACATATTAAACAATTTAGAGACAAACGAAAAACCATTGGTAAAAGTATATACTTACAGTGATTTTCTCTGTTTGAGAGCTATTTTGTGTGCTTTTCTTATTTTTCCATTATATGGTTTGACATTTTTAACTTCAAAATATGAAAGCATTTGTTAAAAGTATACATTTTGTTCATTTTTTTTTGTTTTAAAATGTAAGTGTATATCCCTATTGGTTTCTGTTCTGTTTACTTCTACTGGCGACTTAACCATTTGGAGTTTAAATAATTTTACTGAATGTGAACTCTTTAACTTAAATAATGTTTTAAGATACCAGACCTCCCTTTGCTGTGTTTACCACTTTAAGATAACAGCAAAAATCACTGTACCTAAAGTTCTCTAACTTAAATGTAACTGAAAAAGATTCCTCAAGATCAAAAATCTATTTTTGAGATAAAGTCATTTTCTTTCCCTCCCAAGGTTTTCAATTTGAAATGGAATTGTCCCGAGGATTATAATACATTTTTGAAAAGATACACAGATTTTTTTAAAAGACACTGGTTAGCCTTCCTATGTTCATTTTTTTTTTTACATGGTTGGGCCCAATAGGTAAAGCTTTTTGTAAATGTAAAATAATAATGTAAAATTATTTTTTGCTGTAGATTACAAGTGTTGGTAAATCAGCAGTCTGAGGGATATGAATTTTAATCTTTGTTTCTTTAAAAGCATGATGGCTTATGCAGCACTATAATGACAATATTACAATGCAGATAGAACAATGGTTCCTGTCTGGGGTTACTAGTGAAATACAGGGCTACTCAAAAATATTTCTGAAATTAAAAAAAAATATATATATATATTATACCCATATCCTAGTCCTCTACTCTTCTACCTACAACCATGAGGGGAAAATGGATATGAGAAAATACCTATGCTGCAAACAATCTGAGAGACTTTATGGAGTTTTCTTTATAAAGAATACTGTAAAAAATCAAAAAGACAGACAATACCAAGAAATGGCAAAGATGTGGAGAAACTGGAAACTCCACACGCTGCTGGTGGAATGTAAAATGGTATCGCCATTTTGAAGATGGTCCTGCGGTGTCTCAAAAGGTACAACAGAGTCACTCTAAGACCCAGCAATTCCACTCACAGATACAGATTCCAAAGAAATTAAAAGACATGTCCACCCAAAAACTTGCACAGGAATGTTTGTAACAGCATTACTCATAATGGCCAAAAAGTAGAAACCCCATGTCTAAATGCCCATTAACTGATGAAGGGTTAAATAACTGTAGTGTATCCATACGACAGGGTATTATTCAGCCATAGAGGAATGAAGGACTGACATATGCTACAACTTTGATAAACCTTGCAAACACTTATGCTAAGTGGAGAAAGCCAGATGCAAGAAGATCACATATTTTATGATTCCATTTGTATGGAATATTCAGAATAGACAAGTTCATAGAGACAGAAAGTCGACTGGTGGTTTCTAGGGGTTCTGGGACAAGAGAATGGGAAGTGGCTGCTATAGGCTAACAGAGTATTTTATGATGATAAACATTTTTTTTTGGAATTGGACAGTGGTAATGGCTGTGTAATTATACTAATATATTAAAACACTGAGTGGTATGTGAATTTTATGGTATGTGAACTATATCCCTATTAAAAATACATTTTAAAAAAATGCAAGGTAAAATTAAATTTCTGATCTAATGTTCAAGTGAAGAAACTCTTTCTGTTTCCTCTTTCTTGAACAAAATTGGTAATAGTGTCAATTACGAGTTCTTCAAAAGTATACTTCATATTAACTTCGCTATTGTCATGTGAGAAGTGAAATTGCATTTCTTGTTTTGATAAATCAAGAGGAATGGAACCTGTGTTCTTCTAGATGAATTTGTCCTTCTCCAATTTGTACTGATCTGATACCAAGAACACACCTGAGGCTACATGCCTTCCTTCTAAAATGACAAAAGCTTATTCATACCTATTTGTTTATACAATGAATTTTCAAAAGCCAACACTGTCCTCAAAATAATGTTACTGGGTTTCATAAATGTCAGTGGACAATTAGATGGTCTCATTCAGAAAGCTTTAAGCAAACGTCTAAACTGTTTCTTTTTTTGATGTCACATTGAACTGAACTGAACTGAAACTGAACATACCTTAAGGCTAAAGTAGACTGACAGTGAGTGAGAGAGAGTGTCTGTGTGCGAAAGATATATGTAGAGAGAAAGAGAAATATATTTCTCCGTGTACTTTCATTCATGGAGATTGGATTTATTATTAGTTCTAAAAAGACTAATAGCCCCTCATTCAGGGATCTCAGCTGTTTTTTAAATTAAGATGTGTGTGCATTGAATTCATTTGAATCGTGATGGAAAGGCCGTGGCAAGCCCTGAGAGACCTGACTTACCCCTCCCAGAGCAAGGCAGATCAGAGCTTCCCTGGCACTTCCTGATGCTCTCCTCAGGCGACAGAGTGCAGGACTGTGGGTGCTCACACTTCTTCCCGTACCAGCCTGCTTTGCAGTCACATCGTCCACAATTACACTGTCCATGACCTTCACGGTGAGAGCGGCAAAAAATAAAAATATACATGAAGATAATGAGGTCAGAATTAGTTTTCATTCTAACAGCAAATGTCACAAATGAGTCAGGATCTCGATGAATACAATATAACACATTAAGGCAAAGGCATATTTTTCTCAAATTCTTAAATAACTGATTTATGTGAATTGATCTTGAGGGGTAAAGGAAAGCTACCACTACAGATAAGATAAACAGTTTAGTAAGGCTATAAACTTCAAGCTGTCAAATTCCAGGAGCATGTGATTGTATTGGTCTGCTGGGGCCTTAAAGGAGTATTTGGGCTGGGCACTGTGGCTCACCTCTGTAATCCCAGGACTTTGGGAGGGCAAGGAGGGCAGATCATGAGGTCAGGAGTTCAAGACCAGCCTGATGAACATGGTGAAACCCTGGTCTCTACTAAAAACTACGAAAATTAGCCAGGTGTGGTGGCATGCACCTGTAATCCCAGCTACTCAGGAGGCTGAGGCAAGGAGAATCGCTTGTACTCGGGAGGCTGACATTGCAGTAAGCTGAGATCACGCCACTGCATTCCAGCCCGGGTGACAGAGTGAGACTACATCTCAAAAAAAAAAAAAAAAGAAAAGAAAAGAAAAAAAGGAAAAAAAAAAGAAAGAAAAAACAGAAAGAAGTATTTGGTGGATTTGGCAATTAAATCGCATGGAGGGGAGTCACAGGGAAGGGCAATCAATATACTTTTGAAACAGGATTTTTTTTTTTTTGCTCTTTAGACTCTATTTTTTAATATATAAATGTTCCTTTCTCAGTAATTAATGCAATAAGTGAAATTAAAATCAGTATGGATGTAAAAAAATGGACATTAACAGCCAAGTAGACATACTTAACATTTATAGAGCATGTTACAAACAATATCAGAGAGAGTACATATTCTTTTAAGACTTAGGTTTTTTTTAGAGCAGTTTTAGGTACACAGCAAAATTGAGAGATACGCAGAGATGTTCCATATACCTCCTTCTCCCTCACGTGCATAGCCTTCTCCATTACCAACAATCCCCACCAGAGAAGTACGCTTGTTATAACTGATGAGCATACATTGACACATCACCATTACCCGAAGTCAATAGTTTACATTAGGGTCCACTCTTAGTGTACACTGTATGAGTGTGAGTAAACAAATAGTGACATGTATTCACCATTGTAGTATCATACGGAGTAATTTCAGTGCCCTGAAAACCCTCTGTGATCTTCCTAGTCATCTGTCCCTCTCCCACGCCTTTCCCCAATCTCTGGCAACCTGATCTTTTTACTGTCCTCCATAATTTTGCCTTTTCCTCAATGTTATATAGTTGGAGTTATACAGTATATGTAGTCCTTCCAGTTTTTTTTTTCAGTTGGTCATATGCATCTAAAATTCCTCTATGGATAAACACACTGTGGTACATCCAAAGAATGGAATATTATTCAGAATAGGATTTTTTTAAATAAACGATTTAATGTATTGCTATTTATTAAGGTCTCACAACCACAGTCAAATTGGGGGTCACAAACTGACAAAAAGCAAGAAATCTAGAATTCAGAAGAGGTCGCTCTTTTTTCCCCCAGATTTATTGAGGTATAAATGACCAAAAAAATTGTAGATACTTAAAGTATGTAATATGATATTTAGATATGCATATGCATTGTGAAATGATTACCACAACCAAGATAATAAACATATCCATCACCTCACACAGTTACCTTTGTGTGTGTCTATGTACAGTGAGAATATCTAAGATCTACTCTCCTCATATTGCAAGTAGACAGTATTACCAACTCTAGTAACCATGCTGTACATTAGATCTCCAGCATGTATTCATCTTATAACTTTGAAAGTTTGTATGCAAAGTCTCCCCATTTCTCCTACCCCTCAGCCCTGGGCAACCACCCTTCTACTCTGTTTCTAAGAGTTCGACATTTTTAGATTCCACATATGCGTGAGATCGTGAAGTGTTTTTTTGTCTACGTCTGGTTATTTTACTTAACAGAATGTCCTCCAGGTTCATCCATGTTGTGCCAAATGAAAGGATTTCCTTCTTGAGGGACGAATACTATTCCATTGGGTATGTGTGTGTGTATATATATATATAGATATACAGATTGATGTAAATATATGCATATTATGCATATGCATATCAAATCATGTTACATATATATCTATATATAGATATCTCACGTTTTCTTTACCCACTCATCTTATAACAGACACTTGCGTTGTTTTCATATCTTGGTTATTAGGGATAATGCTCCAGTGACCATGGAGTGCAGACAGCTCTTCAAGACAATGATTTCATTTCCTTTGTACATATATCCAGAAATTCCTAGATCATATAATTCTTTTTTTGATTTTTTAAGGAAACTTCATAATATCGTCCATAATGGCTGTATCAATTTACATCCTCACCAACAACATGGAAGTTTTCCTTTTCTCCACATCCCTGCCAACATTTATCTTTTGACTATTTGATAACAGCCATCCTAACAGGTGTGATGTCATATATCATTGTGGTTTTGATTTGCATTTCCCTCATTAGTGATGTTAAGCACTTTTTCATATACCCACTGGCCATTTGCATATCTTCTTTGGAAAAATGTCTATTCCGGTCATTTGCCCATTTTAAAAAATCTGGTTATTTGACGTTTTTGCTACTGAGTTGTATGAGTTAGATACAGTTTCAACGTTTGTCCTCTCCAAATCTCACATGGAAATGTATTCCCCAATACTGGAGATGGGGCCTGGTGGGAGGTGTTTGGACTATGGGAGCAGATCCCTCATGAATGGCTAAATGTTGTCCTTTTGGTGATGAGGGAGTTCTTGCTCTGGTAATTAACCTGAGATCTGGTTGTTTAAAAGAGCGTCCCACCTTCTCTCAACCTCTTTTGTTCGCTCTGTCTTCCTCTCTCTCACCATGTGATGCACTAGCTCTGCCTCCACTTTCAGCCATGATTAGAAGCTTCCTGAGACCTCACCAGGAACAAAAGCTGGTGCCATGCTTCCTGTACAGGCTGCAGAAACGTGAGCCAAAATAGACCTGTTTTTGGTTTTTGGTTACTGATTTATTTATTTTTTTGAGACAGAGTCTCACTCTATTGCCCAAGCTAGAGTGCAGTGGCACGACCTTGGCTCACTGCAACCTCCATCTCCCAGGTTCAAGTGATTCTCATGTCTCACCCTTCCCAGTAGCTGGGACTATAGGTGTGTGTCAACATGCGTGGCTAGTTTTTGTACTTTTAGTAGAGATGGGGTTTTACCATGTTGGCCAAACTTGTCTATAACTCCTTTCTTCAACTGATTTGCCCACCTCGGCCTCCCAAAGTGCAGGGATTACATGCATGAGCCACCATGTGCCTGGCCCAAAATAAATTTATTTTCTTTATAAATTACCCAGTCTCAGGTATTTCTTTGTAGCAATGCAAAAATGGACTAGAACTCATATATTTTGAATATTAACCCCTTATTGGATATATGGTTTGCAAATATTTTCTCTCATTCCAGAAGTTGCCTTTTCATTTTTGTTGTTTCCTTTGCTGCTGTAGAAATCTTTTAGTTCAATGCAGTCCCACTCATTTCTTTTTGCTTTTGTCATTTGTGTTCTGGTGTTACATCCAAAAAAATCATTGCCAAGACCAGCAGCATGGAGCTTTTCTCCTATGTTTCTTTGAGTAGTTTTAAAATTTCAGGTTTTACATATAAGTCGTTAACCCATTTTGAGTTGATTTTTATACACAGTATAAGACTAATTTCTTTCTTCTGCATGTGGACATCCGGTTGTCCCAACACCATTTGTCAAATAAACTGTCTTTTCCCTATTCTGTGTTCTTGTCATCTTTGCCTAAAGTCAATTGGCTATAAATGTATGGGTTTATTTCTATGCTGTCTATTCTGTTCCATTGGTCTATGTATCTGTTCCTATGTTAGTACCATACTGTTTTAATTACTATAGTTTTGTAATATAATTTGAAATCAAGAGCTATGGTGCCTTCAGCTTTGTTCTTGCTGAAGATTGCTTTAGTCATTTGGGGTATATTGTGGTTCCATATGAATGTTAAGTTTTCTTGTTATTACTATGAAAAATGCCACGAGAGTTTAAAAATTATATGTACATATTTATGGGGTAGAATTACATGTTTTGATACATATATAGGTTGTATTATGATCAAATTAGGGTATTTCACATGACCATCACCTTATGCATCTATCATTTGTGGTAAGGGCATTCAAAAGCTTCCCTAATTATTTTCTAATTATAATATGCCATGTCTTACTGTTAACTGTCCTCACCCTACTGTGTAATAGAAGTTGAACTTATTCCCGCTATCTGATTGTAACTTGGACCACAGACCAACCTTTCCCCATCCTCCCATCATCCTCCTCCCGTCTCTGGTAACCACATTTTAAACTCTCTGCTTCTATGATCCCAATTTTATTTTTAGATTCCAATTTTTTAGTTTTTGAAATAAGCTCTTTCTGTGTCTTATTTCACCTAACATGACGACCTCCAGTTGCATTCATACTGTTGCAAATGACAGGACTTCTTTTTTTAATGGTAGAATTATCCATTCTGTATATATACCACACTTTTTTTATCTATTCATCTGTTAATGGCCACTTGTGATTCCATATCTTGACTACTGTAAATAGCGCTGCAATAAATAAAGAAGTACAGATAAATCTTTGACATATTGATTTCGCTTCTTTTGGATATATATCTAGTAGTGAAATTATGGAATCATATGCATATTATAGTTCTATTTTTAATTTTTTGAGGAACCTCCATACAGTTTTCTATAGTGTTTGTACTAATTTACGTTTCACCAACAGTGTGTCAGTGTTCTCTACCTCCTTGCCAACATTTGTTTTCTTTTGTCTTTTTTAATTATAATTCTATAATAAAACCGATTCTAACTGGAGTGAAGAGTATCTCACTGTGTTGTTGATTTGCATTTCCCTGGCAATTAGTGATCTTGGTCATATCTT